ACTCGGAGACAAAAGCCATAACTCAGTTCTAGGCATTTGTTGCACAGTGAAATATGTATGGCCAATGCTACCAGTTCTTTTGATTTTTTTGAGAGGAACAAGAAGTCCAGATTTTTACAGTGAATTATCTCAGATTTGGAGGTTGGCAGCTTATTTAATTAAACAACACAGTATTGACCGAACAAAATATGCCCTTGGGCTAGATGCAGCCTGCAAATAGCCAGTTTGCACTCTGTTGTAGATGTTGTTTATTTACATCAGAAAATCTCCTTGCTTTCTTGATATTTCTAGGAGCGTGGCTGTGTTATAGAGTAGTTCCACTTTTATATGTGATGTTTTTATTAAAAAATATGAATGATATGTACTCTTTAAAAGGAGAAAGTTATCAGTGAGAGCCAGTACATGTTTACAAAGAGAGCATTGTTCATAACTAGGCTTGGTTTATTATGGGGATAGTACCTACTGATCTATAAGGGAGTGCTGTAGTTGAAATTTGAGTCCCTTCTAATATTTCACAGACAAATTGGGTATAGAGAAAGGTGTTGGTTAGATGATACAATTGTGTCTTTTGATTAGGTTACAATCTCATAGAGTGTTGATGAATTGTGTTATTTTGGGAGGCATCTTGAACACGTTTGCTGGCCATATCCTTTTCAGAATTTTTATCCACAATGATGAACACAGAAGCAATATCAAATTTAAAATTGGAAGGATTTAACAAAATGTGAATTAAAAGAATCACATTAAATACATCTCTATTTGTTGGAAAATTTGCCCACATGAACAAACTGTAATTTAAAAGTCATAAAAGTAGTGCTCTGAATGTTAAATAAACATGAATATTGGAAGATAGAATTTGCTTCAGTGCATAGAACTTATAGGTAGGCTAATTTAAGATTACAACAGAATGATTTTTGTCTCCATTTATTTAGCTGCCTGAAATGCCTCGTCATTGAACATGTTTATTCAGAGGCTCACTGTATAGAAATACATGCCAACATAGGGTGATAGGCTGTCTGTGGTAGACCCCTGAGCATATATTATTCAGTCAAGTTGATTAGGGTTCTAATCCCAAGATTGCCATTCCATAGCTTTGTGACCCTAGATAAGCTGCTTTATCTTAGTTTAGTCAAGTATGTATCAAAGCATTAGGGTAAGAATTAAACAAGATAATACATGTAAGTACCTAGCATACTGTCATTCAAATAGTTACTCCTTAAGTAACTTTACTTCCTGCACTTCCAATTTTTTAACACATAAATTCTATGATTCTTAGATTCTGTTCTCAGCCCCCAGATGGACATATAACTAACTAGTGAGTTATACTCTCCAAAGAAATAATAAAGCATTTTGGGGCCTTAGAGATGACTATGAGAAATATCCCATAAGGGTAAACCTTATTTCTAAATAGTGTTAGTTTAATTTATAGATTAAGTCATAGCCTGGTAGCAGGATGAAATTCAGTAAAGCATATTATTCTTGGACATGTAAAAAACAGTAATAATTATGTAGATACCAAAATGTCTAGCACTGTTTAAAATTTTTAAAGTAACCTGAATATGGATATATTAATCAATTATTTACTCAAAGACAAGGAAATAATCTTACAGATAAATGATGTTTATATGTATAAATTAGCTTCTTAATGAAAAATTTGGTTCTGATATGCCTTTGCAATTTGAAAGGAAATTGAAAGGGGAAGATAACCAGTGAAAAACAGTAATATAAACTTCAGAAAGCCAGAACATTGAAATAAATGTTGAGGATTTTGGTCCGGAAGGAAAAAACGTTATCTTATTTTCTAATAACATAATTATTATACACACACACATACATACATACATACATACATAGATACATACATATATGTATGTATTTTGTTTTTATAGTAGACCAGGAAAGAAAAATTGTTACCAAAGGTTTCACTTTATTTAAATAAGGTGAAAATGACAATGTAACCATTAACAGGTAGGCATGCAGCCACCAACAACCGATACATTTTGCTTTATCTAAAGCTCCTTGAGAGTTAGAATAGAAACAGACCAACACCTTTCTTTGAATAGATTAGGTCTCATCTGAATTTTTAGGCCTGAACTACATTACACGTCGAAATTGTCTGGAAATAGCAATTTCTTCACGTTTGAAATGACCACAAATGAAATAAATTATGCTCTAAACTAAAGATTATGTATATTGTTAGAAGATTTGCCATGAATATTTTTTCTTTGAGTTATAGTGAATGTAGAAACTATGATGTACTGATTTGTATTATATTTAGTTAGTAATGTAACAGTATTAGTAATTTGTGAGGTTTTTGGGTTTTTTTGTAAGTAGAGGATATACGTAGTAGAATAGCCATCTAGGAACTAGGGCTTCAAGAGTTGAATAATTTAAATAGGAAAATTGAGATTACCAATAGTAATTTCTAATTTTTAGATTCCCCAAAACTATCACAGATATGTCTCATACCTATCCAGATTTTTCCAGGCTTCCATGCAAAGTTGCCAGTGTGTTTATTGTAAACACCCTGTTCTGGCATCTCCCTTCTAGAGCCTTCATTACTGCTTCAGTCTGGACTGCTTGCTCTAGAGGCCTTTGCACAACTCTTATCCTAGGACTTCACTCTTCTTCCATGATCTTAGATTTCTTTCCTCCTACACCCATGTATTCCTTTTTTTCATCTCCTTTATTTTGTTTTAGCCATCCTTTGGGATGTCTTAGGAGGTGGAGTTTTGAGTCCTTGCCTGACTGCAAATGCTATTAATCTGTCCTCACACTTTATTGATTGTTTGTCTGGACACAGAAGTCTTGAGTGCAAAGAATTTAACCTCTGTATTTTGAAGGCATTATCTTCTAACTTCCAGCATTGCTCTTGAGAGGTTCGATGACATTTTTAAACTTGATCCCTTTGTTTGTTACTTGGTTTTTGTCTCTTTGGAAACCCTTAGGCACTCTTCTATCCCTTGTTTTGGAATTTTACACTGATACTCTGGTTTGGTACATTTTTTATGCTGTTCATTCACTCACTCTTTCAGTCTAGAGACTCATGTCTGAAGTTCTGGGAAAATTTCCAGTAATTCTTTAAAATGAAACTTTTATTCATTTATTTCCTCTATTTTTTCTTTATGGAATGACTATAGCTTTATGATAGTTGACATTGATGGTCTAATAGTTTAATTTTTTTCTGTTATTATTGTTTATATTCTAGTTTCTGGGGGATTTTTCTGGAGTTATCATCTAAACTTTCCATTAACTTTAATTTTTTTTAGCCTTTAGAATTTCTTAAAGCTCTTTTTTCCTGTCTGAAATTCTCTTTTTTTACTTTTTAAAAAAGTTTAGTTTTGTTTAATAGCTTCCTGCTCTTAATTCAGCTACTAAACTTAAACTTAAGTTTTGGAGTTCTCTTCAGCTGTTTGTACTGTCTATATTTACTTGTAGCTCCTTTTATGTTGTTCAATATAAACATGATTTTATATTTGTATTTCCTCAAATATCTGGTGGTTGGCTGTTGATTTATATTCAAAAGGAAGGTATTAAACTGAATTGGAAACATTGCATGTATAGTGTTGGGTTTCATTCCAAGAAAATAGGACTTCAAGGGTTTTTTTTCTCTGACATATTGTTAAATCAGTGCTTCAGAACTCTGTGCAGAGCACATCTGCTGGTCCTTTTCCTTTCTAATGGTGTTTGGATTTTGCTTTCCTCTCTTTTGCTGTTACCTCTCTGTTTACCATATTTACAAAGCCATCCACCTGCATTGCTATTTTTTCCCTCATTTTGCTTGTATTCATTAATTTATACCCTTTTTATTCAGGTATTGTCATTTTTATGTTATTTCCAGAGGACACAGAGATATATGCGCACAGCCAATATGTTCGACTTAACCAGAAATTGGGTAGATATTTTAAAATATCATGGGAATTTTCATATTTCTACTTAGTATTTATAATTATCATTTTAAATAACTCTATAATATTCTGCCGAGTAAAGATAGTATAGTTTACCTAACTTCTTTTATTACTGCTTTCAGATTCAAAAGGCATCATTCATAGTCACTAACAAATCAGACATTATATGAAAAAAATCGTGTTAGAATGCTATTTTTTATGTTCTACTTATTGATTTTAAAATTTTATGTTTTGTGCATGTACTCTTAATCTGTGTACAATTAATGTAGTAAAAGCAACACCAATATTTTCTCTTTAAAAGTAGCATGCATGTTCTAATGGTTTGAAGAAAAGTAATGAGTATTTGTTAATTGATAATTAACAACAGTGTATTTTGTGATTTTCTCTTTTCTACGTGAAAAACGTACAGTTTACCATTAAAATCTTCAGACATTTTAAAATATACTATTTTAATTTTTAAGAAAGAATATATATTTTGTTTTATTTGATTTTTAGCTTTAGTATTTAGCTATCATAAAGATTATACTTTTATCTAGCACAATTAAAATAAATTTTGAATTATATTTGATATTGATACATAAGTCATTTACAATTTTTAAAATTTTTAGATAGTCTTTCTGATATTTGTATTGAGTTATTTTGAAATTTGCCATCATTCTTAAACATCTTTTCTGAAGAATTTATTTAAAACATAGTTCTGTTGTATTATATACTCCAGTAACATTTTAAAAGGAATTTTGAAATCTTTTGTTTTAAAAGCTTTTTAAAATTAGTTTTTATATGATTTTTTTTACAATGGTTAATTTTTATTTTATACATGCTTTCATTGAATACTATGAAAATAGTTTTAGATACTGCTGATATAAAAATAGAAGTATGTAATGGACAGCTTTTTAAATAGAACTCTAGATTGTGATTTGTTTTATGAAAACATAATAAATAACATGTAAAACTTCACTGAAAAAGTAAAGAAAATGGATATAGTTCTTTTTTGACTTCCAGGATTAATATGTTTGAATTAAAATAAATTGTTTATATAGTCTACTTGTTTTGAATTTTATGTCTATACATTTTTAAATAATTCTCTTGCAGTTACCTTCCCTGGTTTGAAGTGTATTACAAGCTTCTAAATACTCTTGCAGATTACTTGGCTAAGGAACTGGTAAGCTGTTTTTTTTCCCCATTTTTTAATTGTGATAAAATGGCATAACATAAAACTTAACGTATTAACCATTTTTCAGTGTATAGTTTTGTGACATTAAGTACATTAATGTTGGTCTGCAACCATCAATACCATACATCTTTTTTTTACCTTGCCAGTCTAAAACTCTGTCTATACCCATTAAACAATATCTACTCATTTCTCCCCAACCCTCACAATCCCTGGCAACCACCATAGTATCATGTGTATGAACCTGACTACTCTATGTCTCTCATGTAATTGGACTCACAAAGTATTTGTCCTTATTTGCTAAGTGACTGGCTTATTTCATTTAGCATAATGTCTTCAAGATTCATCCGTGTTATAGCATGTGTCAGAATTTTTTTAAGACTGAATATGAATACACCACAGTTTGTTCATTCTTTTATCTATCAATAGACACTGGGGGTGCTTCCTCTACTTTTTGGGTATTGTGAATAATGCAGCTATGAAGATGTTTGTATAGATAATGTTCCAGCCTTTGGGTTCAATCCTTTTGGGTATATACCTAAAAGTGGAATTACTGGGTAGTATGGTAATTCTATGTTTCATTTTTTGAGGAATCATGAGAGCATTTTCCACAGTGGCCACACTATTTTCCATTTCCTTCAGTAACTTACAAGGGTCCCGTTTCCCTCACAATCTTGCCAATACTTGTTCTTTTCTTTTCTTTTTTGGATAATGTGTGTGCAAAGTGTTGTATCATTGTGATTTTAATTTGCATTTCCTTAATGAATAGCGCTATTGGATATTTACTTTCCATTTGTATGTCTTCTTTAGAAAAGGTGTTTAGTTGTGCAGACAGAAAATTACAACCCAGTGTAAATGCTCTGGGAACACAGCAAGCATCATCTGATTCAACCTGGAGAGTCAGGAAAAGTCTCTAGAGAAGTATTTGTTAGAACTCTTCTGTCTCTGTGTCTCTAACAGCAAATAGGTATTGAGTCAAAAGTTGTAGAAGATCTGTTCATGTCCTTTGCTCGTTTTTAAATCATGTTGTGTTTTTTGTTGTTGAATTGTAGGAGTTCTTCATATATTCAAATATTCATTTCTTATTAGGTGATTTGCGAGTATTCTATTCCAATGCATGGTTTGCCTGCCATTTTACTCTTTTGATAGTATTGTTTGATGCACAAAAGTTTTTAATTTTAATGAAGTCCAATTTATCTACTTTTTCTTTTTCTTTGGTTGCCTGTGCTTTTGGTATCATATCCAAGAAATCTTACCAAATCCAAAGTTTTAAAGTTTTCTTCAAAGAATTTTATAGTTTTAGCTCTCAATAAAAGTCTTTATGCTTTTTTTTTTTTCCTTAAAAAAAAAGAAAGAAAAGCTGAAGTTTGCTTTGGAATGAACAAACTTCTCTCAGATAATAATTTTTTAATTTTTTTCCCTTAATTATTCTTTCACTTTTTTAAAAAAATTGTTTTGGAGACAAGGTCTTGTTCTGCTGCCCAGAGTTGGAGTGCAGTTTTGTGATCATCACTCACTGCAGCCTCAACCTCCTAGGCTCAAGTGATCCGCTTACCTCAGTCTCTCAAGTAGCTGGAACTATGGGCACATGCCACCACAACTAACTAAGTTTGAAATGTTTTGCACAGACAGAATCTCACTGCTCTGCCTAGGCTGGTCTCAAATTCTTGGCCTCACAGGATCTTCCTGCCTCTGCCTCGCATCTACCAAGCCTGGCCATACTTTGAGGTTTTTTTTTTTTTTTTTTTTTTTTTTTTTTTTTTTGAGACGGAGTTTCGCTCTTGTTACCCAGGCTGGAGTGCAATGGCGCGATCTCGGCTCACCGCAACCTCCGCCTCCTGGGTTCAGGCAATTCTCCTGCCTCAGCCTCCTGAGTAGCTGGGATCACAGGCACGCGCCACCATGCCCAGCTGATATTTTTTGTATTTTTAGTAGAGACGGGGTTTCACCATGTTGACCAGGTTGGTCTTGATCTCTTGACCTCGTGATCCACCCGCCTCGGCCTACCAAAGTGCTGGGACTACAGGCGTGAGCCACCGCGCCCGGCCACTACTTTGAGGTTTTTAACAAGAGCTAATTTACTAAGATATTAGCTATGCTATTTGACACAGCTCAATTGAAATAAAATGCATTTTTAAAATTCTTTATAATTGGCTATTGTGTATTAATTTTCTCACTTATGGTGTACTTTCTATTCTCTAGTTAGCTATTTAAATGCTTATTTGGTCCCTCTCACACTTGACATTGTGTTTTTCTTGGCTGCCCTGACATTGTCTCTTTCTTGTTTTACTTATGAGCTCAGTTTCTTTCTGGGCCTTTTTCCTCCATCGACACCTAACATTTTGGTGTTACTTATGTTCTATTCTTGGTTCTTTTTTTTCTAGATACTATTGATGGGCATTTCAGACATACTCTTTGTCTACATACCACACTTTTCATGGTGAACTTTTTGGAAACTGATTATTCCACTGCTTATAATCTCTCTACAGTCTCCTCTTTTTCTTAGAATAAAGTTTAAACTGTGAGCAGCATGATGTATAGTAACTTTATGGTCTGGCTTCTGACCTTCTCTCTGGATTAATCTGCTTCCACTCATCTGCTGCACATAATGTACTATCTAATTGTTTTGAGCCACTTAAATTTCCCAGAACATAACTCTACACAGTTGTCTGTCAAGATTACAGACCACTCACTAATTATTAATGGTAGCACACTTATGTTTTAAGAGTTAGTGTACTCTTTTGAAACCTAATTTCAGCACAAGTAATTCTCTAGAGGCTTTTCCTGACTTTCCAGGTTGAGGTAGGTGATGCATTCTGTGGGTTTCTAGAGCATTTACACTGGGTTGTATGTAATTCTGTGTCTGCACATCTAAAGTAATAATTAAGAGTTGGAAATCTTCTATCGCTGTGTCTCCCATAGCAAAAGGTATTGAGTCAAAAGGTGGAGAATAAGTAAAAATACATTAGAAAGTTTCTAATATTCAGTTTTTAGATCTCCATTTTATAGTAAAAGAAACTAATATCCAGATATTGTGACTTTTTTGTTCATTAGATTCTGTATGCCAGTGTTTTAAAGGCAACCATAGTCAAAATTATTGATGGAATTTTTTAAAATGGGATATAGTAAGACAGAATGTCGTTTTTCTCATCCTAATTTTTTCCATAGGAAAAGCTTATTTTTAGCTTTTCAGTATACAATCATTTATTTCTTTATATGTTTTAAAAGTTCTGTTGACTGAATTTGGAGCAAAATATCCTCCTGGGCATAGTATTTTGAGGGTTTTGTTTGTTTGTTTTAGACAGAATCTTGCTCTGTTGCCCACGCTAGAATGCAGTGGCACAATCTCTACTCATTGCAACCTGCACTTCCCGGGTTCAAATGATTCTCCCGAGTAGCTGGGATTATAGGCACGCACCACCATGCCTTGCTAAGTTTTTTTTTTGTATTTTTAGTAGACGTAGGGTTTCACCATATTGGTCAGGCTGGTCTCAAGCTCCTGACCTTGTGATCTGCCCACCTCAGCCTCCCAAAGTGTTGGGATTACAGGCATGAGCCACCACACCCAGCCTGTATTTTGAGTTTTCATTTAATTTTTAAAAATTATATTGCCTTGGTAATACAGTTCAGTTAAAATAGTATAGACATTTCTGTCTGCTCAGCTTGGTGAAACAAGTTCTATGCTTACATGGATACAGACTGTATTTGAAAATAAGCTTGTAAGAATAAAAATTAGTGATTTTGATAAGCCAGCTAAAATCTTTCATTTGCCTTAAGTGGTGGTGGTCTCAAGTACAAGTGAGTGTGGTCACCTTAGAATTAAAATGTTTATGACTGTTCCCAGGTAACTTAATGTAGTATTGGCAGTACAAATGTAACTGGACTTTTGGCAGTGTGGTTTGATTGAATCCTAAAATCCAGGATTTAAGTTCCTTTCTTTTTTTTCTTTCTTATCTTTTTTCTTTTTAATGAGATTGAGTCTTGCTCTGTGGCTCACTGCAACCTCCGCCTCCCCAGTTCAAGTGTTTCTTCTTCCTCAGCCTTCTGAGTAGCTGGGACTGCAGGTGTGTGCCACCATGCCCAGCTAATTTTTGTATTTTTGGTACAAACAGGGTTTCACCATATTGGCTAGACTGGTCTCGAACTCCTGACCTCATGATCCTTCCACCTCGGCCTCCCCAAGTGCTGGGATTACAGTTATGAGCCACCATACCAGGACTAAGTTGTATTTTTAATTTATTTATGTTTTTTTTTTTTTTTTTTTGGAAACAGTCTTCTCTGTTGTCAAGGCTGGTGTGCAGTGGCATGATCTTAGCTCACTGCAACCTCCACCTCCTGGGTTCAAGTGATTCTCCTGCCTCAGCCTACAGAGTAGCTAGGATTACAGGTGTGTACCACCACGCCCAGCTAATTTTTGTATTTTTAGTAGAGACAGGGTGTTGCCATGTTGGCCAGGCCGGTCTTGAACTCCCTTGTGACTTTGATTAAAGTACAGTGTCTATAAGTCAGATAACTAGTTCTGTCACTTGGAAAGTAAGAGAGGTATTATAGAATTTAAAGGTGTTAGTAATAAATTAAGGTACTCTTTACTCTTCTAGTGAACAATTTTCTAATTTGTCAACCAAGTTTATTATAATATAATTGCAAGTTTTAATGTTTGTCAAAAGTCTAGTTGTTAATGTATATGTGTTTGTGCATGTCAGTATTTTTCTCTCTATATTTGATAGCTTAATTATTTGAAATATATATTGACATCATTTTACAGTTGAATGATTTTATGTTGAAGCTATAAGTCATTCACTTGCTTAAGAAAATAACTGGAAATACAACTATTTATTTTTTGCAATGAAAAGTCAAAATCAGAATTCTGGTTAAATTATTCATGATAATTTCTTATTGTTTGTTTTTGTGAATGTACATGTGGAATTCACATTAATTATATTAGTTGTCTAAATTTGGGATACTTTTTCTGTATTTTATAACTTTTAGTAACTGTTACTGATAAATTATTAGTATTTCCATATTGCCTATCATTTTATTTTTCCTGAAACCATCAGTAATACTGGAATACATAAAATAAAATAGCTATAAGCAAATTGATATAATTTTGGCTTTCTGAGAAGAGGAAATAGGGAGGCTCCATTTGTGTTCTTTATTTGAGGAAGAAGTATTATAAGTTTATAGCATTAGTTAAACTAGAAGTAGATTTGTAATTGTAGTACTTTTTTCTGTTCATTTCTAATTCAGTGCGATAGGTTATTTAAATAACTTTTACAGTTCAAATTACTCTTACCTGATCAATGTAAGACAGTGCAGAGGATTTTTAAAAGCTAGTCTAAACATTTTTCTACCTGTAGGAATTTTGTATAAACAGAGTATCAATATGATCCACAATTTTCCATGTTATCCTTCATTGTTTAAAAGTTTAAGAGGTAAATTGTTTATTTTGCAGTCCTTCTAAAATGTGATTCTAAAACATAACTGTATGAGTCTCTTATGCAAAGGCGATTGGTATCATCTGCAGTATTCTCTGGTACACTTCATTGTATAAATGGTCAAGAGATCAATTGTTTATAGTCTTTTTAGGTCATTCTGAAGAGTATTTCAAATAAGTAGTTTTAAATGAATACTTTTGAAAGTAGTTACAGAGATCTGCTTTATTGAATTTTGGTATAAGTGGATAGACAAGGCATAAGAAATATCGTGAGAAGTCTATGTCTCATATCCAAACTTAATAAAATTGCCAACTTCTCTGAACAATTGCTTTTTCATTTGATTTATTCCCTCCAACATGAAAATAGAGACTAAAGATAATATGTTTATAAAAATCATTGTACATTTATTACTAGATTTGTAGCATGTGATGCAGAAAAATTGAGGTTGCACATCAAGGCACAGTATTATTATACAAATTCTATGAAGTAGATTTGTTGTATGTTTTATTTAATCCCATTTATTGTGGGTCAAGTAGTAATCAGTAGCAATGTAGAAAAGACATATTTAGCAATTGTTTCCTCTACATTGCATTTTTAGTATAATAATCTTATTTAAATTGTTTCTATTCCTTAAAAATTGGTTTAGGATTTTAAAATGAAAATGGAAAATGAGAGTACTCTGTGATCTGATAAGTTATATTGCTATTTTTGTTCAATCCCATTGTTCTTATTGGATTTAATGATTTAGATAATTTCCTTTTATGATATTTGTATAATATGTAACTGTTTCAAAATACACATTTATACTAAGTATAAGTATTGACATTATTCTTCTGGATAAACAGATTTAAATATGTTTTCATATTTACTAGACTCAAATATTTTAATTTCAGTTATTTCACATGTTTTTGTTTAAAACATTTATATAAAATATGTCTAATATGAAAAGCCACAGTGGACTGTTTTATTAAGTAGTTTTAATTGACATTGCTTGGTATGTGTCTTATTTATAAAATGTGCATTTTCTTTTCCCTAGGAAAATGATCTGAATGAAACTCTCAAATCACTGTATAACCACCCAGTACCAAAGGCAAATACTCCTGTCAACTTGAGTGTGGTAAGTATTCAATCAGTAATTGTTTTTTGGAGTCATAGCTGTCTCAATTTTGTTACAAACACATGAACCTTCAGGTAATTCTTTGCCAAGTCATCTCTGCTTCCAGGAAAACTTCATTGCTAGTACTAACGTAGCAGTTTAACATGCTGTAACAATTGTAACTTGATATATCAGGTGTGTATTTTTATAATTTTGTTGAATTATTGAATTAAAAAAATTATTATAAACTAAAAGAAACCAAATCTATGAGGATATTTTGGTTGTAAGAAACATTGATTTTTAGGTGAAATCTGTGCATAATAAAGGAATACACACACATGCTTAATAACCCTCCTAAAATGAAAACAATACTTAGTAAGAACAGAAAATGACATATAACATGTAACTATATGATAAAAATTCTCGGTGAAAAGTTTTGTCTTCTTTCTTATACATCAATATATCTTTTCGTATAATCACAAAATACTGGAAATATGATTGACCTGCTGTTTGTCAAAACAGCAAGCCTATGATGGGATAGATTATTTATTGTCCTATTGAAACTTAATGAACTGTGCCATCTATATCTAAAAACACTCATGTTTTGGGAATTTTTGTAAATGTTCAAAGTTCAAGATTATAAAATATGGCTGCTTTTATTTTCTTTGTGAATTTGGCATACTGGATAGACTATTAAAATTTATATTTATTTTCTTCTAAAATAATAAACTTTACCTAATAAAGAAGGAAAAATATAATGTTGCAAGAGAAAATGAGAGAAAAGGTAACTCAAAATATATATAATAACAGGTCTTTTGTGTTTTTGTGAGATAGGGAAGTTGTTATTATATTTTCTTTGGTAATAATTTTCTTCTTTTTTTAAAATTAATCAATTTTTAATATTTTCCTTAAGTTATTGGGATACTGGTGGTATTTGGTTACATGAATAAGTTCTTTAGTGGTGATTTGTGATATTTTGGTGTACCCATCACCAGAGCAGTATACACTGCACCATATATGTAGTCTTTTATCCCTCACCCCCTCCCACTCTTCCCCCAAATCCCCAAAGTCCATTGTGTCATTCTTAGGCCTCTATTTCTTCATACCTTAGCTGCCACAGATCAGTGAGAACATATGATGTTTAGTTTTCCATTCCTGAGTTACTTTACTTAGAATAATAGTCTCCAGTCTCATCCAGGTTGCTGCAAATGCTGTTAATTCATTCCTTTTTACGTATGTACCACAGTTTCTTTATCCACTTGTTGATTGCCAGGCATTTGGGTTGGTTCCACAATTTTGCAGTTGTGAATTATGCTGCTATAAACATGTGTGCAAGTATCTTTTTCGTATAATGACGTTTTTCCTCTTGATAGATACTCAGTACTGGAATTGCTGCCATCAAATGGTAGTTCTACTTTCAGTTCATTACGGAATCTCCACACTGTTTTCCATAGTGGCTGTAGTAGTTTACATTCCCACCAGCAGTGTGGAAGTGTCTTTTGATCACTACATCCATGCCAACATCTAATATTGGTGTGGATGCAGTGATCAGTTGATCAGTTTAATATTTGTTTAATAGATGTGTGAGGATCATATTTTGTAATAACTACATGTATAAGAAGATTTAAACATTGAAAAATTATGTCTTATTTCTGTTTATTAAATAATATGGTGGCTGATGTTTACAAAAGTATTTTGATTCTTTTCATTGTGGCCCTCTTTGCAAAAGTAAGGTGGTATTGCATTGTGGTTTTGATTTGCATTTCCCTGATTCATTAGTGATGTTGAGCATTTTTTCATGTTTGTCAGCTATTTGTATATCTTCTTTTGAGAATTGTCTATTCATGTCCTTAGCTTACTTTTTGATGGGATTGTTTTTTTTTCTTACTGATTTGTCTGAGTTCACTGTAGATTCTGGATAGCAGTCTTTTTGTCAGATGTACAGACTGTGCAGATTCTCTCCCACTCTGAGTTGTCTGTTTGCTGACTATACCTTTTGCCATGCAAAAGCTCTTTGGTTTAATTAAGTCTCAACTATTTATCTTTGTTTTTATTGCATTTGCTTTTGGTTTCTTGGTCATGAAATCCCTGCCTAAGCCAATGTCTAGAAGAGTTTTTCCAATGTTATCTTCTAGAATTTTTATAGTTTCTTATCTTAGATTTAAGTTCTTAATCCATCTTGTGTTGATTTTTATATAAGGTAAGAGATGAGGATCCAAATTTCATTCTCCTATATGTGGCTAGCCAATTATCCCAGCACTGTTTCCTGAAAAGGGGGTCATTTTTCCACTTTATGTTTTTGTTTGCTTTGTTGAAGATCAGTTGGCTGTAAGTATCTGGGTTTATTTCTTCGTTCTCTATTCTGTTCTTTTGGTCCATGCGTCTTGCCCAGATTTCATCCTGTGATTTCACGTAATAGTAATGTTCTCTTACTTTATTCCATTCTTTAACCACTACTGTTAGTAGTAGACTAAGGTGGTTAGCATCTTAGTTCTGGCACTTAGTACTTCAAAGAGTTCTTAGTCTAGAGTCTTTCCTTCCAGTCCTTTCTACAAAAGACTGTCAGGGTAGAGTTACTTAAACTATATAATTTGTTCAAACTTTGGCCAGACTTTCAGGACCATCCATTTCTTAGATTCAATTGAATATTTTATTTTCCTCCTCTATTCTGGTCACATAGTTTTATTCAGCTTCTTGAATGAGCATCATTCCTTTAGGACAAAAGTCACTTTGTTGATTATGTGTTGTTAGTCTAGAACTTGCTCAGTCTTCACCTTTGTGAAACCTCTTGTCATACAACTTGATGCAGTGTTTTTTCTTTCCTGTGATCTTCTCTGCTGCTTTATGTCTGCATCTTCTTTTGTTCCACACTGCCAAAGTGGAAAGGTTTAATAGTCATTTGGAGACTGGGTGATAAAAAGCTAAGGATAACCTGGAATTTTTAACCCAAATTTGGGAGTCAACAGTAGACATAGTTGTAGCTATTTAAAGGATGAAATATAGAAGAGCATAGAGCAGAGGCTAAGTTCTAATTGCCCAAATAGGCTATAGGGAAAAAGAAAGGAGATGCAGTGAAAGAATTGGGGGAAAGAGCAGTTAAGGAGCATCTTAGACTTATAGGTCATTGAAGCCAAAAATATGCAAGGTTTATGGTTAGTGGAAATGCAATAGAAAGGCCAAGGGAAAGGTCAAGGATAATAAAGAAGAGCGTGGGATTTTCCAAATAAAGGTCATTTTTCTTTGAAAGTGTTATATTTATAAGGTGATTCTAGCACTGTTAAAGAGTTAAGGAAAATAAAGGTGCTAAGACAATGGAGGTGGCATTGAGAAATACAAATATGTTCTCTCTTTAAATTTGAGTATCATATTTGCTCAGGGGTAAATAAATATCTTACAAAAATACATCTCCAAAATACCAGATATTGAAACACTTCATCTTTATTAATAAGAACCATAAATTAAAGATTTCTAGGTCTTTTTTACTTAGGATTAGAAGATTTTGGTTTAAGTCACAGTCACTAAATGCGTAAAGTCAAGAAAGTTAATCTCTTTAGATGATCCTTTTTTTTCCATTTGAGAAATTGAGCATGTCAACTTTTGAGAAAGTTGTTTTAGTAATCAACTTTCTCAAATCAAATAAATAAAATGATACATCTGAATCTACCATGAAGAGCTATTCAGGTGTTAGGTGGTGGTAAATTGAAGTTTCATCTCATATGTAGAAAATGTTTTCTTCTGAAATAGCAGAATTGTAGCTGAAATAATCTTGTCAAAGGAATTTGATTGACTGTATTCTATTCCTATGTATATAGGAATTTGATTGACTATCTGCTATTCCTTAATAGTTATTTCCATAATTAAGAATTCTTATATGCACTTGAATTAATAGTCTATGATAGTTTTTCAAGTCTTATACCTATTTTAAAGTTATAATATCTTTTTTTTTGAGACGGAGTTTCACTTTTGTTGCCCAGGCTGGAAAGCAATGTCGTGATCTCAGCTCACTGCAACCTCCGCCTCTTGGTTTCAAGCGATTCTCCTGCCTCAGCCTCCCAAGTAGCTGGGATTACAGGCACCTGCCACCACGCCTGGCTAGTTTTGTATTTTTAGTAGAGATGGGGTTTCACCATGTTGGTCAAGCTGGTCTTGAACTCCTGACTTCAGGCAGTCCCCCCGCCTTGGCCTCCCAAAGTGCTGGGATTACTGTAGGCATGAGCCTCTGTGTTTGGCTAAGTCATAATATCTTAAGTGTTGATAAAATCGCCTGTTACATTTGTTTACCATGAATAATTAATTGTATTTGATTTCAGTAACAGACTCCTAATGTATCTGGTGTAATGCTGTTAAATAAGTGGCATATTTGGGACGAGGACACTTATCTTCAGCTACTAGAGGAGATTTTAGTTTTATGATGACAGATTAAAATTGATGATTATGGAAGTTTTTGTTCCTGGACAAGTGGATAATGGCCACTAGAAGTCACATATTTTTATAAAAAGCTAATGGCTAATGAAAATACTTTTTTTGAAATATTTCAAAATCATTAAATATCCACAGCATTCTCTACTCTTGTAATATGAAAATACTTTCATTAGGATTTTTCTAGCATAAAATTAGCAAATCAGCATTTAAAATAATATTTATAATTACTGTTATTCAAGTATTTTTTAGTGGCTAATGTGGCTACATGGGTTTTGTCTTAATTACACAGCGAATTGTTGTGTAAGCTTCTCCCATGAAAGTAAAATATTCATTTTTTTCTCTCATGTATTGTAAGAACCAAGAGATATTTATTGCCTGTGAGCAAGTTCTGAAAGATCAGCCCTCTCTAGTACCGGTGAGTTAAAAGGACGTTGGCTTCTAAAAATCGCTGCTAAATAGGAAAAATAATCATTTATTTCACTATGCCTTTAAGATTCACTCCAGCCCTTTGGGAAGTGGTAAATTTGACTTTTTTAAGAAAATTAATCATTGGAATATATAATATTTTCTGTTTATACTATCTTGTAAAGCATAGTTTTATGAAATACAGTACTATTAAAAACCATTCCAAATAAAACTAGCTTATAGAGACCAAAATCTATGCATATTCTCCATTTTCAGTAGTAGTAATTTAAAAGTATATTCGCAGCATGAGATTTATCACATTTTTTGGCCCCAAGATCACAGAAGATCTTGTGATTTTTCTCCTATTGTTCTTCCACCCTGGAAAATTATGCATTATGAGTGTGTTAACTAGCCTTGTTCTGACTAGTTCAACTATGACCAAATATTGGCTAGAGTGTTCCTTTTCTAATTATTAATAATATGATAGTATTAAATATGTCCTTATGTGATTAAGATATTTAAATAATTTTGGAGATTAATATGAACAGAAAATAAAACATTTTTTTGGTGATTAAGTTGCACGTTGATTCTGGGTGTAAATTTGGGAATATTGTTAGTAACATGAAAGCATATATACACAATATACTCTTAAGTATTGTGATGAACTGTTGTACTTCTTTGAACATTATAGAAGCTAATTATTTGGCGGATGTGTGAAGATCATATTTGGGAATCACTACATGTTTAAGTAGTTTGAAACATTGAAAAATTATATTTTATTGCTATTTGCTACATAATAGGATGGCTGATGTTTACAAAAAAGATTTGTTGTGACTTACCATAGAAAGTCAGGAATCTTAATAGATTTTGATATATTTGGTTAACAAGCTTTAATTTTTCCAATCTACCTCAACTAAATGTGTTTTAATAATATATATGTTTCTATGTGTGTATAATAGTGTATATATATATGTGTGTGTGTGTGTGTGTGTGTATATATATATATATATATGTATATGTACAAAATAAACCTTTCAATACTGTACTCTTTTTTGCCTTAATACTTTTCCCTAGTCTTATCTTAATTTTAACGGCAAATATTTTTAACCAACTCTTAACTTTTTGCATGGTAATGTAATTGTTAAATCTCATATAAACCTGCTAACTCATTTAAGAATCTTTCAAATTCAACAAATGCTGAATTTCAGTCCATGGCATTTATTAATTCTCTCAATATATTTTTTTCTGATTTTCATTACAAATTGTATGTAATTATACCAAGTTTTAATTATCTTTTTCATATGTGATTTGTTTGTATTGATTAGCATTCCTACTTCATTACCCCTGATGTAACTGGACTCCCAACAATACCTGAGAGTGTAAGTTTTCTATTTTCTGTTTTAATTATTCTATATTATTAATTTTATTTAGTGTGGTCTCACTGTTTATGCATTTTTATATAGAGAAATAGGATACATTATAATTATCTGTGTTTACGATAAATAATGAAGAAATAAGGAATATTGATGTTATTTTCTTTTCTTCTTTATGTATCTGCCCCCTTTACCTTCTTCTTAATATCTGGTTGTAGATAAGGAAAATCAAGGACAGTAATAAGAGGAAAACGATTTCTGTCACTTGTAATAATTAGGTAGGATCACATATATTCAATTAGGTTCTCAGGCTCTCTATATCTGATAGAAGCTATACCTCAGGAGATGGCTTCTACTTGGAGAAAAACACTAGCAGTGGGAAATGACTTCACACAAATTGTTACTTTAGTGAAATTAGCATAGTATTTTATATTTCTTGTATATAATGCTTCAAATCTTATATGTCCTGTTCTTAATTTCCTGACTTTAATTTAAAGTAATACATATCTTGCAAGGTTTGACTGGTATTATAATAAATTATAAAAATTGCTAAAATTTGCATTTTATTTAGAGTCCTAATGGTAGCCATACTAGAAATATTTTCAGTTTTTAATAGTTATTACAAATTTATATTTTGTAGAAAAATTTACATAGATAAGTGGAAGTAACAAATATGCTTTTATGATTTTAGATAACTGTGAAAAGGAAATATTTTATTATGTAATTTTTCATCAGCTTCCCTTGGAAAGTTAAATGAATCGGTAGGAATAATTCAATTAAAAGTAAAGGAAAAATCAACAGGAAAAAAAGATTTCAATATATACTTTTTATTTACTTTGGAATTCTACTGTTTTTCCAAATGTTTTCAAACCCACTGAATGTTTGGTTTCTAAAAGCACATGGGTAGTGGAGGAAGTCCAAGAATATACTTGTAAATTTTCTGGTATCAAACCAAGACTATGAATGGTGTTTTCAGTACAGATGGATCCAGAAAACCCTGATGAAAAGCCTTTGTATCAAATTGCTCTTATGGGCCTGAGATAGATGATCAAAGCTCTCAGGTTTCACAGTAGATCCTAAAGTCTTGACTGCTGTACATTGTGGGCCAGGTACTCCTTGTTTATGTTTTCTTTAAGGCCGACTGACCATGCCTTGACTTACGTGATCCTTGTCCCTTCACTTCAGAGTTTCACTGTCCAAGTTGCTCCCATCTACTCTCTCTCCTGTTTACCTTTCTCTTAGATTTACTAACAAACAACTAATAGCCTGATTTAACAAATGTCACATTTTTTAAAAGACGATTACTTTGAAGGTTTCAAAGAAACAAACTTTCAAATGAAAAACTGCCACTGAGAATATATATTTTTACATGTCTATTAACGTGTTTTATTTTGCAAAAAGTCCTGTTTAGGGAAAAGAAAGCAAGAGCATAAGCGTAAGGCAGCACTCTATGCTGAGAAATAATTCCCCATCTAAGAATTACCTTTCTTTTAGATTATAGGAAATATACTAATGTTGAATGACATGAATTTTTATATGGACAGCTGAATTGGAAGATGAGAAAACAAGAAATAAACCTCTTCCCACCAAATTCCACATCACCCCCTAGTAGTTACAGGTTTTATTGATGTGCTCTGTCATGTTTACCAATTTGTGATGGTAAAGCTTCTACCTTTCGGAAATTGAAGAAATAATTAGATTTCTTAATTTCTTGTCCAACTAAAAGTTTTAGCGTATGAGGCATAGTCCACCTGATGCTGCAGTTTTTGTTTGTTATATCTTATCCAGACCCTTAATTAGTTTGTTGCTTTCTGATGTGCTTAAGTTTCATTATAGAAAATTAAAAATAAATAATAAAAAGGGAGAAGATCTAAAAGTCAAAGTTAACGTAGCTTATCCCAGTTGTATTCTCATGTGGGGGATAAGAGTGCTAAATTAAGGAATCAATCATCAAATTATATTTGATTCTAGTTGTACAAAGCAAGCTGGACTTGAAGTATAAACAAGTGAATTTCCTTAATAAAGTACCAAAGGGCTGTCTTATAAAATCACCTCATCCTTTGGGTGCCTTGTGTATGCTATGTAATATCAGGTACTGATTGTGTCTGCATAGTGAATGGCAAACACGAAAAGACTCAGATGTATTGTTTGGGCCACTGGTTTCTGAAGCATCAGTGTGTATAAGAATTACCAGAAGTATGTGTTTAAAAAGCAGATTCTTGGCCAGGTGTGGTGGCTCATACCTGTAATCCCAGCACTTTGGGAGGCCAAGGTGGTTAGATCATCTGAGGTCAGGAGTTTGAGACCTGCCTGGTCAGCATGGTGAAATCCTGTCTCTACTAAAATACAAAAATTAGCTGGACATGGTGGTATGCACCTGTAATCCGAGCTACTCTGGTGGCTGAGGCATGAAAATTGCTTGAACCCAGGAGACGGAGGTTGCTATGAGCCAAGATTGCACTACTGCACTCCAGCCTGGGTGGCCAAAAAAAGAGAGCAGATTCTTGGGAACCTACTCTGAAGATGACAATCTGCAGGTCTAGGTTGGGGCCCAAGAAATTAGCTCATTTTCAAATTCTTAGGGGGTAGGGAAGTTGGGAAATCTGTGATCTGATCATCCTCTGAAAACACTTTTCTTGAGTAGGGATATATTTCAGCTAATAATAGAATATTATGTGCTTCATGTGGCAGCAGACCAGTATTACACTTAATTATTTTAATGAATACCATTTTAAATAATAATAGCTTTTGAACTTAAAGACTTTCTGGTAAATGTGTAAAATGTTTTCCTTCACATTCACCATGAACTGTAACTTACACAATTATTTTTCACTTGTACAGAGAAATCTTACAGAATATTTTGTTGCTGTGGATGTGAACAACATGCTGCAGCTGTATGCCAGTATGCTGCACGAAAGGCGCATCGTGATTACCTCGAGCAAATTAAGCACTGTAAGTACTTCACACTTCTTTTAAATAGCATGTATTGAGTGTTTCACAAAAAGGCCTAAAAACCTCTGCAGATTTAGAAATGTGCTATGTGTACTTATGAGGCAATATCTACATACTTTTTTGATATATGGTTTTAATCTGGCTCTTGAAGTACAAAAGTCTGATTTATAGGAAGCCTTCTCAGATGCATTAAGTCAGGTTAATTATTTTTTCTTATCAGGGGAGGAGAGTTTTTTTTTTTCTTTTTAACTCTCCAGAGTTCATTTTAGTGCCTTCTACCATATAAAGAATTCTTAAGAGCCATTATGAGATTTTTATTATTCACTTGTGGCTTTTTCCATTGGAGCTACTTGAAAGAAATCAAGGGGCCGTGATAATAGCTGCTATCCTAACCTGGTAATAGGTAGATTCATCTTTGTTGCCAAGTAGTGGTTTGGGAGTAGATTCTATAATAGTTTGATTTAGAGCGGCTCTTCAGACTGATAATAACTTAAAAGTCAAAGTGGCATTTTTTTTTTTTTATAAATCACAGGTTTTATGACATTCACTAAAATGTTCTTTTGGAAGGTCTTTATTAATATGGTAAAGGCAGTGAGAAGAGAAAGATTTTTCTTGGGTCATAGGAAAATATTCAGAAGTATTTTGCTAGATTTTATACTTTTTTCTCATTTAAGCGTTAAACATTTAATATTTTCAACTTAAAATTTTAAATACAAATTTAAATATAGTTTCAAGTAATCTATGATTTACTTAGTAAAAACCATTATTCAATATTGCATGAATTTTCTTCTTCACAAATTTGATTAATTGATAAAAAACAAAACCATATTTATAATGTTTTCTTCTCCTGTAGTAGAAATAACAACCTTATTCTGTATTTTAGCATTTAAAGTAGAAGGAGTTTCAGGATTTCTGTGGGGTATCTGTTTAGCATTTAACAGTGAGAAACGTATTTTCAGAGAGATTAAAAGACTACCTCAAGGCCAAACAGCTAGATAATGTGAAATTGAGTCTTCTGATTCTAATTTTTGGGTTATTCCCATTACTCTACAATTGAAAGTATATCAATAATACATATAATTGTACATACAGTTTGTGTGAATTTACAATTCACACATCTCAAAAACATGACTTTGAGATTTTGAATTGTAATTTGATTTTCTCACCCCTAAAAATTGAAAATGCACTTTACGTATTGAAAAATATATGCATTTAAAAAAGGGTGGCAAAATGATGTAGTATATCAGAGAATAAGTACTAGTCAATGACACAAGTAATTTTTTTTCTTATACGTCTTAGAGATGTCAAGAAATTCCGTTTGACTTATTTGATATTTTAATTTGCCTTTATGCAATTTTTAACTTACTATTGAAGTAAAACCATTTTTCTTCTTACCCCTGCCTCTCCTTCTCATTTTTTAAACATGACTTTTTTTTTTTTCTTTTTTTTTGAGACGGAGTTTCGCTCTTGTTACCCAGGCTGGAGTGCAATGGCGCGATCTCGGCTCACCGCAACCTCCGCCTCCTGGGTTCAGGCAATTCTCCTGCCTCAGCCTCCTGAGAAGCTGGGATTACAGGCACGCGCCACCATGCCCAGCTAATTTTTTGTATTTTTAGTAGAGACGGGGTTTCACCATGTTGACCAGGATGGTCTTGATCTCTTGACCTCGTGATCCACCCGCCTCGGCCTCCCAAAGTGCTGGGATTATAGGCGTGAGCCACCGCGCCCAGCCAAACATGATTTTTTAAAGACTAAAAATGATATTTTTAAATGGCTATTGTCCTCAAGATTAAAAAGATTGTATAAACTGTCTTGTAGGCCTTGGAATTAATTCTTATCAGGATTATTTAAGTAACAAATATTTATTAGGCACATACTACGTGCCAGGTACTTTCTAGACGTGAAGCATATTTGACCGGCATGAAACAGATTATAAACAAAAGAACAAATAAATAGCTATTACTTATAAATAATGGAAAAAGTGAGTGTGTGTACAGGGTAGAAAGTGATGGACAGGTTTTCATTTTATGTAAAGAAGGCCTCTCCAATTAGGTAGTATTTTGTTTGTTTGTTTGTTTGTTTGAGACAGGGTCTTGCTATGTTGCCCAGGCTGGTCTAGAACTCCTGGTCTCAAAGGATCCTCTTGCCTTGGCTTTCCAAGTAGCTGGGACTATAAGCTCGTGCTGCTGTGCCCAACTCAGTGAGGCAGTATTTGAGCAGAGATCCAAAGAAAGTGAGGGAATAAGCTATGTGAGTGAAGCATAAGCTGCTCTATTAGTGCATTAGAAATAAATCTGAATATGTTTTTGAAAAATATTGGCATTTTATTTGTTTTAATTTATATCCACCTCTTAATAACCAAGTAACCTCTCTCTGACTCAGTTTCTTTAAGTGTAGAGTAGGAGCAATAGAAGCCTTCATGTCATAGCGTTGCTGTAAAGATTGAGGAAATACATATATATGAAGTATTTCAAATTGTATCTGCATAGAATACATGTTTAGTGATTGTAAGCTATAATTTTATAATAGTCTACATTCATTTTATAATAGTCTACATCTGCAGTTAGAGTAAAAATTAACATTACTGTCTTTTAACTTAGTATTTGGCTTAAAAAACAAATTGTTATAAAGGCTTAGTATTTGGGGGGAAGTTGTTTTCTATGTTTGATGTCAATTTACTACCAACTGTTTATGACAGTTCATGAAAAGTTGATGGTGATATCACCTCTAAGTTACCACCTCTGTTTTGGTTCACTCTCTGGGACAGTTAGGCTGATAAAAAGAAACATAATTAAGGTTCTCTTTCATGATCTTACCCTTCTTTTGTGGAGGAAGCTGCTTTACTTGAATCTATCTTGAGTAATTCTTGTATATATACAGTATATAAAATATATCTCCTGTAAATTCCATGCATAGTGACATTTAAGGTCAAGGACTAGTTTCTTAACATAAATTAAAAGTAAACTTTTTTAAAAAGAGTTTAATAATATCTCTGAAACATCCAAAGACAGAATAGTTATCAATGAATTTACTTGCTTTTAAGCTTTTTACACACATACATTTTTATATATCATGGAGACTATAATGTACTTAATGTTAGAAATTGTGTTTTATCCATTTTTAATTTTTTAGGTATATAGCCCCAAAATTTTAATATTTAAAGAATACATGTGAGTTAAGGCAGCGTAACATTCATAATTCTATTGTAGTTTCAGAAATTTTGTTTGTCTCAGTTATTTACTTTTTGATAATCATAATTTTTCATAATTATAGTAGAATGATACTTATAAACCTTACAGCTTGCTGTAGGTTTTAGTGGTGATACTCCCATTAGAGAATCAGCTAGCTTGAGGATCCTTTTCTTTAGGTGCTGTTTGAAGGTAAAAATGATACTTTCTTTCTGGGTGAGGTGTCTCATGCCTGTATTCCCAGCACTTTGGGAGGCCAAGGTGGGTGGATCACCTGAGGTCAGGAGTTCAAGAATAGCCTGGCCAACATGGTGAAACTCTGTCTCTTCTCTTTGAGACCAACCTGGCCAACATAGTAAAATTCTGTCTCTACTAAAAATATAAAAATTAGCCGGGTGTGGTGACATGCGCCTATATTCCCAGCTACTCGGGAGAGGCTGAGGCAGGAGAAATGCTTGAATCCAGGAGGTGTAGGTTGCAGTGAGCTGAGATGGCACTGCTACACTCCAGACTGCTTGACAGAGCGCAATTCCATTGCAAAAAAAAAAAAAAAAAATTGTAATCTTTAAAAGATAAACTTTAAAAAAAATTATAAGATATATAAGCACAGATATCAAGAATATTGTTATATTTTCAACATTCTAATGGGTTTTCTTCCTATAAAGTGTGGTATTGTGTTAGTATCTGTTATTATATTTTTGCATGTTTGAGTTTAATGAATTGAGACATAATCAGTTTTGTTTTTATTCTGTTGATTTATGCATTATTCTGTTGGTTTATACATTGTCAGGTACACAGGGAAGAGTTTCTGGTAATCCTGAGCAAGTACATTGATTTCATCCATGCTGTAGGCAGGCCATAGATGTTTAAGCCCCAAGTGAATCTTGGTAGACTAGCAGAACATCATATCAGAGTCTTGTGTATTCAAAGCAAAGGCATATATCATGATATTACAAGGGTGTATCAGTTGACTTATTGCTGTTTTGTGACCATAGGTAGGGAAGATTGCTGTTTAAAGCCATGTCATTGGTTCTCAAATCAGCCAGGCATGAAGCCTTGTCATATGCCTCTATAATTGTACCTCACCAGACTTTCTCTAACTAGTCAGCTGGGGCTGTGCATTTTGTCTCAAACACCCGGCTGGCCAGCATCTGACAGGAGCTTTCTCATCATCCTGTCAGTAATATGTTAACTAGAGTGTATCTTTGTGGCCTGTAGAAGCAGGTGGAAGGGATGCTTCTTTTAAAAGCAGATGTCTAAATGTTAGCTATTATTTTGACCATTATTTAGTTAGTAAATATCACCCTCAGAAAGTCTATTAGCATGTTAGTTACAGAGACTTGATTATGTAGTGCATGTTATTTTTGGAATATTTAGTGCAAGCAGTATGTTATGAGTGCTGGAATTACATTAAGAAACTGTAATTCTTTCTTTGTTATAGTTGCCCCCAGGCATTTACGCATATGCTTTTCTCTCCTTCTCTCATTAATTCCATCAAGGGTATGTGTAAAAAGAAATCTTTCGATCTCTGGAAAATCAGCTATTAAATGTAGATTTTATAGGTTTAGTCAGACTGAAAGGGAGTCCAGAGGATTTTAGCCTCTTCATCTGGATTATACATATTCTTGATTTGTCTTGTAATGGTGCCACCTGTGTCAGCATTTAATCTGAAACCTGAAATGCAGAGACTCTTTCTGGAGGTGAAGAATTGAACAGTTGGTGAGAGAACAAAGATTATGTAGGCTTGCTCCCTAGTTAAGGTTATTAAAGTGCGTTTTTGCCCCTCATGTTTTTAAAGCTGCAGCGAAGTGG